AGGAAAGGTCTGTACACACAGAGGGTGTTTGAGGCACAAGCACAGAGCCCTGCACCTGAACCAGGCCCAAAGGAAAGGTCTGTACACACAGAGGGTGTTGGGCAGGTTCTCACTGAGATTTACTCCTTCCTAGAGCTCCTGTGCAAACCTTCCTCAGGCAGCTGCAAGAAATCCTTCCTGAGGGCTCCTCCCAACCAATACCAAGCACAGAGAGCCAGCACCACCAATGTCCCTGCAGGTCCCTGCCCCCGAGCCCAGGGGACAGGAACACTGAACTGGGGCACCACAGGCTCTACAAATCCCGCCTGGAAGTGCCTCCTGTGCCCTGACAGAACGTTCACACCACAAGAGCCACTCAGCCACCTGTTCAGCAAACAGGAACATGTTCTCAGGACATCAAAGACAAATTTCAGGACTGTTTTCACAGAGGATGCACCGAGACTAAGAATGAAATAAATTAAACAGAATAAAAAAAATTACACAGGAAGAGAGAGAAGCTTTTCAAACACAAAGATGCAGCTCTGCTTCCCAACACTGCTAACAGGAGCTGGTTAACTGTTTGCATCTACAAAAAGAGTGAAAGTCCCAAATAAAAGGGAAAAAAAAAAAGTATAAATCTCCAGTCACACTTCACAGTTCCCAGACATTATTTTACTAAAAGCACAGTTCCTACTGGGATTTAGAAAGGAGCCACTTACCTGACACAAATAAATCTTGTGCAAGTTCCACTCCTCTCCCAGAGCACAGATTTTGACATCACTGTTCTCCCCATTCAAAAACAGAGTCTGATAAATGTATTTCGATGTGCTTTTCAATTTTTTCCTAGTAAAAAAACCCAAACCAAACAAACAGTGAGACACTCCTTCCAGTTGTCCCATTACAGCAGCTGCAGTGGGTCTCAAGCCCAGGATTTTCCCTGCCACGTCCTCCCCAGGCTGGCACCACCTCCCCACTCCCTGCCTGTGCCACTATTTGCCCAAAATTTGCTGAAATAGTGTGAAATTGAACCAAATCGGCCCCAAAAGGAGATAAAATTGGCCCTAAATCCCCCTGGAAATCTGGAATTACCCAGAATTCCAAGGTATTCTCAACATATTCTCCAAATTTCATCAAATTAGGAAAAGTGATGAAATTTAGGGGAATTAGAAGCAGAAATGAGGAGATTTTGGTGAAAATGGGAACATCTGGGGAAAATTCTGAGAAAATGGGGCAATTTGAGGAAAAATCGGGGGAATTTAGGGGAAAATGGAAAATTTTGAGCGAAAATGGGGAAAATTGGGCCAAAGATGGGGAAGTTTGGGGCACATTTGGGAAAATGGGGAAGCTTGGGGAAATTCATAAAATTGGGTACATTTGGGGGAAATTATAGGAATTCTGGATAAAAATGTGGAAGTTTTGGTAAACTTTGGGGGAAAAATTGGAGAATTTGGGGGAATTGGTGAAATTTTGGGGAAATGTTGGGAAATTTGGGAAAAATTAGAGTAAATATAAAGAAATCTGAGAAAATTTGGGAAATCGATGAAATTTGGGGAAATTTGAGGCAAAAATGGGGGAACATTTTGGGGAAATTTGAAGGGAAATAGAGAAACAAGAGTCAAAATGAGGAAACCGGGAAAATCTGGAAAAACTGCTGGTGCTGGGACATCCCCCGAGCACCCCAGAGCCTCCCCTGACCCCAAAGAGTGGCCTGACCCCCAAAACTCTCACTGCCAGCCTTGGGAGAATTAGTCACAACTTAATTTACCACGAAAGAGCTGCCTGTCTTGATGCACAGGGTTTAAATTATACTGACTCAATCGCAGAACCCATACATGTAAACATCTTTTTTTTTTTTTTAATGAAAATCACGTGGATGTATTGGAAAGGAAAATATCATTAACCAGCAGATTACTGGAATACTAATTAACAAGAAAACCGTGTAACTCGCAGCCAATGAGCTCTGATTCCTTTTTTTTTTGCTCGAACGTATAAACAGTAAGAAGTTCCATGGCTGCTGTGCTTTGTGGGACTGCAGCGAGCAGCAGGGGCAGCACAGCTC